GGGCACTGGTGAAGGTACAGGTGTTTTATTGTCTGACCGAGACTTAGACCCGAAAGCTTTGTAACTGCTCTCACGGTGATTCAATAAATAAGATTATATATAAAAAAAATTAGATGGACTCTTTGCAGCCTCAAGACTATTGGATATTTTACTACCTAGGAATTCCATTGCCATGGGGGTGGGTGTCCTTCCTTACTACCTGTCTATATCAGGAAGAACTAGAGGAGGGGAAACAGTGGGGGGGGGGACCAAATTATGGTCACTTCTCATCTTGGTTGCCTCTAGTTCTATAGTGAGCATTCTTGACAGCAGAGATGTTAAACTCTTGGTACTTGCACTACAGGTTCCCCCCTTTGTGCCCATAACAGACATGATTCATCGATCACAGTTCATTCTACTGTGCTCAGTACCCCTCTGAGCCCAGATGTAACTTTAAAATCATTTTTCCAACACAGAACTCAGGTCTGTCACTACCACTGGTTAGAGTTAATTCTCTTTGCTATAAAGTTCTGCCTCTCTCTGATAGCCTACAAAATGCATTTGGCCCTCATTTAATCACAAATTGTATGTGGTAAATTCTGTGCTACATACCAAGGATGTAGCATTGAAAAACACACTTGTTTTATACTTTATTTAATTTTGGCGTATTTTCTTTCCCTCCCCCCTCTTTCTTTCTTCCTTTTTCCTCTTTTATTTGGGGTCATACCCAGAAATGCTCAGGGGTTACTCCTGGCTCTTGCACTCAGGAATTAGTCCTGGAAGTGCTCAGAGGACCTTATGGGATCTGGGGATTGAACTTGGGCCGGCTGTATGCTAGATGCCCTACCTGCTATACTATCTCTCTGCATCCCTCCCCTCCACATTTCTTTCTTCCTTTATTTTACCACATCTGGATATACTCAAGGGTTGCTTCGGACTCTACGCTAGGAGTCACTCCTGTCAGTGCTCAGGGGATCCTCTGTAATGTCAAGGTATCAAACTAGGCTTGGCTGCATGCCCTGCCCACTGTACTATCTCTCTGGCCCCTGCATACTTGATTTTGTTTATCTTTTCTTGGTGTGAATTTTGTTCTGTTTTCTGTGCCAGAAATTAAACCCAGCACTTGTGAAATTCAAACCTTAACCATGCAAGAGAGGCACATGCTTTACCATTGTACCACTTCCCTGGCTCTGTTTATGTGAATTGTCCTGAATAGCAATTATAAATCATATAATTATGATTCATAGAGACAAAACACAGATTTATAGTTTCCAGCACCTCTGGGAAGGGAGAAATGAGGAGTAAAGCTGATGCACGTAAGATTTCTTTCTCAGGTGATGACATGTTCTGGAATTAGAAAGTAGATAGTTATATAAACTTATGAATATATTAAAAATCTAATTATACCAATTAAGCCTAAGGTTAGAAAATGCCAAAAGTACATGAATTATAATATTTGAATTATGTTTCAGTTAACTTGCTATTTAGGAAAATTTTTATAGTTTTGAGCCACTGAGAATTTAAATTTGTTTATTACCTTAGCAAAATGTAGCCCCATCCTATTGATACATGTCTGCCCAGATTATCAGTTAGTGTAAGGGCAGAAAGAGGCATATATAAACTTGCAAACATTTCCCAAAACTTCAGAAAGTTACAGAAATATGTGTTCCAATAAAATGAGAGATTAAAGCAAGAAAGAGGAAGAAAAAGGATCTGAACAAGGCCCTAACACAGGAGTAGAGAAGGGAATTCTGAAGATGATGGAGAAGAGAAATTCCAGGATGTTAGATGCTGAACTGTAGAGGAGAGAAAGCCAGTCCTACAGGGGAAAAACTACAACTGGTGGAATTAAAACCTGATAGATTTAAAAGAGTTTGTGGCCAGAGATATAATACTGTGGGTAGGATACTTCTTTGCACATAGCCAATCTGAGCATCAAACCCAGATTGATGCCCAGATTGGCTGTGTGCATATATGGACTCTCAAGAACTGCCAGGAGTAACCCCTGAACATTGTTGCATGTGCCCCCTCCAAAAAAGAAGTACCACAGGTTTAGAGATAGTATCGGGTTTAAGGCACATGCCTTGGATGCAGCCGACCCAGGTATATCCCCAGCATTGCATGGTTCCCTGAACATTGCGGGATGCATCCCCCCAAGGCATGGGCTCTCACATAGAACCATAAGTTCAGTGACCAAGAATCATGGGAAGCCAAAAGCCTCCTGAGCCGTGCTTGGGAGAGTCCCCCAAAATAAATAAATCAAAGCTTTAGAAATATCACAGAGGATAGATCAAAGGGCTGAAACAAGTACTTTGCATGCTGGAGACCCAGATTGAATCCCTGGCACCATATGTTCCCCCAGCACCCATGAGAGTGACTCTTGAGCATCAAGCCTGGGGTGGTTCCTGAGCACCTGGCCCCAAAACAAAACAAAAAACAACAACAACAAAAATAGGCACATTCCCATTCCTGGTCTCGGGCATTCCAACTTGGGATGTTCCATTCCTTCCTTTTACTTCATTGGGTTCTTTCTTTCTCCTGCCCCCTCTTGGCTCCCCTCTCACTCATATTTCTGAAACAAAACTTTTTTATGTCACAAAAATTAAAAGAAAAGATCACAGAGCTCTTGACAGATATTGGAAGAAAGTTTGGTCAAACTTTCAAGAAATCAAGGCAAGGAAAAACAAACAAAAATACCCCCTTCAAGAAAACCCAGCAACAACAAAGAAATTCATAGTGAAAAGCACCAAATCATAAAAGAAAAGATGTGGAACTGGAGACTGAAAACACTTGAGATATAATAATTATTAAAAATACTGAATATAGATAAAACAACTGGCCATAGCAATGCTGCCAAACCCCGTGCCAGGCTGTTTCATTTGGGGCACCCCGGGGGGGGGGGGGCGGGTGAGACCCCTACCCACCCAAGGGACCCAGCCCTAGCAACCGAAAACTTCCAGAATCCAACCTCACAGCTCACAGCTGCTCTCCACACACTCGGGCCAAGCCTCACCCATGAGTAAACCTATTCCTGGACATCTCATATCTCACACCACTCATATTCCAAGAGTAGCGCACCACATTTGATGGGGTTTAAAGTAGAAGGCAACCGATCTTAGAGGGAAATATATTTTTACAGATATATATGTGGGTGTATATATATATACATATATATATATATGCACACAAGGCTCAACATTTTTTTCTTTTTGGGTCACACCCGGTGATGCACAGGGGTTACTCCTGGCTCTGCTCTCAGGAATTACTCCTGACACTGCTCAGGGGACCATATGGGATGCTGGGAATCGAACCCGGGTCAGCCACGTGCAAGGCAAACGTCCTACCTGCAGTACTATCATTTCAGCCCCAAGGCTCAACTTTTAACAACATATTAGTAATCTCTTATAGAAGGGCTTAATGGCCCGTGGATGAAATATAACAATCTTCACACATTCTCCCCTAAGGAAAGTTTTTTGGTGCATTTTCAGCGGTTTATTCATAACAAACAGTACAAAATAAATTATTTCGGTTCTGCTTTGGAGTAGGGTTTGGAGTTTGGGATGGAAACATCCAAAATATGGTAGTGGGAAGGTGGAATGGTGGTTCCATTGGTGTTCGAATATTAAATGTAATCAAATATTGTGAACTACTTTATAAAAAATAAAATTAAATTAAAAAATTAAATTAAAAATACTGAATATAGATTTAGTCCTCAACAGAGTTTTAATGGTATTGGGAGAGCACTGGGCAATAAGGCAATGAGAAGGCTCAGTTCTTCCTCCCGTGTGCTAATTGCAGTGGACACTGTCTACAGGCTGAGTCAGAAGATTGATTGCAAAACCCAAAGTGGACTTGGGATCTCACACCGCAGAGCCACTGTGATCCAAAGTGATCCACAGCCACTGTGACATACTCCGGGATTGGGATCCCACTGACCCTGTAACCGCACCAAGTGCGTACTTCTAAAGCAGTTTTAGTCACACCTGGCTTCCCCGAATACACTTTCAAAAAACTACATAAATTCTCACATCAGCCACTGAATGAAATGGAATTGTCAAAAAGTTTAGCTCTAATGCAGAAAAAACTTTACCCCAAACAAAACCAGAACCAAAAAGGGAAGGAAGGCAAAGGGGCTAAAAATGGGAAAAGTTCTGGAAATGTTTAATAGCCCTGCCCTAGCAGCAGGCCAGAGGTATTGACAGCAGTCTGGACATCACCAAGTTGTACTGCTTTATGTTGTTTTCTTTCTTTCCTTCTTTCTTTCTTTCTTTCTTTCTTTCTTTCTTTCTTTCTTTCTTTCTTTCTTTCTTTCTCTCTCTCTTTCTTCCTTATTTCCCTCCCTCTTCCCTCTCTCCCTCCCTCTTCTTTCCTTCCTTCCTTCCTTCCTTCCTTCCTTCCTTCCTTCCTTCCTTCCCTCCCTCCTTCCTTTCTCTTTCTAAAGTAAGAGCACATTAATTAGAAAACCAATTTCCCACTGCTAAAGAGAGACACATATCTGTACTTAGGTTTTCTAAGAAAAAAGTTTCCTTGGAAGAAAAAGCCTAATGGTTTGCTCTCACATTGCTTACACAATGCTGAAATGTCACTGAAATCCAAATCTGATTGCCATGTGCCTTTCTTAGGTTGCCTGGCTTGTTAACTTCATCTGGACTGTGTGACTTGGGCAATAATTCTCTAGATTACCTGATTCTATACAGAGATTGTATTACCCTTATAACTAACTGATCTTGAGTCAGGATAGTGAGAATAAAAGAGAAGAGGGGACCTAAAAAGTGCCCACAAGAGTATGATTCTCCAGGCTTAATCAGCTCAAATCATTTGCTTGAGACTCCTGACTTTGTCCTTTTCTAGACCCCCGATTCCTTTTCAGAACCAAGAACCATCCAGCTTTGTGACAGCATCCAGACTTCTAGGCAACGGACACAGGGCTCTATTTGCCCCACGAAACTGGAGCAACACTTGGACCAAGGTGCTCCAAGAGGAAATTTCCCTCGAGAGGGCAGAGGAAGTAGGGTGTGAAGATGCTGCGGCTGGTGATGGAGTCAGCCAAAATCGATCCACCTCTGACTCCTGAGCCCAGACTCTGCGTGACCTTCTACTTCAGGGGTGAGAGTCAGGGTGCCGGGTGACAGAAACTGAGAGTCCCCGAGCTTGTGCACCAGCCCACTGAGCTCTCTTCCTAATGGCTTTGTTTTGTTTTGGAGCCACACCTGGCTCTGTTGAGGGCTTACTTCTGGCTCTGTGTTCAATGATCACTCCTGGCAGGCCCAGGGGACCCTATGGGATGCCAGGGGTTGACCCTGGGTCAGCTGCATGCAAGAGTCTTACCTGCTGTTCTATCTCTTTGACTCCTGTTTCTTGGGATTTTTCTGTAAACCAAAATTGTGCGAGGGAAAAAGTACCGGCTTCATAGGATTAATATGAGGATTTAACATCAGTACTGTTCTTTGTTCAAGTTCTAGCAATAAATGTTACTTTTATCCTTGCAAAGCCTTTTTATAAATATAATTGCTGTTGCCCCTTACAATTCTGAGGCAAATGAGACAAATTGTAGGGCGTATGTAAGGCAAAAGCCCTACTGCTGTACTTTCTCTTCAGCCCCTCCATTATTTTTTGTAGATATATGAAAGATGTCCGAGAAAAGTGGGAGATTTATGATAAAGATTTCAGATTATATATGTATAATCTCATCTTCACTATATGTGTGAGAGTTGAGAGCAAAAGGGATAGAAGGGAAAGGATTATGAGTCATATGAGTCAGCCAGCAGAGAAGAGGAAGAGGAGTGTGCAGGAAAATGAGGTTTCCCAAGAAGTGTGGAGAGGAGAAAAGAGGGGCAAAAACAAAAAAGTGAGAGGGGACCAAAGCAATCGTACATCAGGTAGGGCTTTTGTTTGCCTTTTATGCGGCGAACCTGGGTTCGATTCCCAGCATCCCATATGTCCCTGAATACCATCAGGAGTAATTCCTAACTGCAGAGACAGGAATAATCCCTGAGCATCGCCGGATGTGACCCCACCACCCCCCAAAAAAGGTGAGAGAGAGAGGAGATAGACAGATACAAAGAGAGAGCAAGAGCGAGAGAGAGAGAGAGACAGAGAGAGAGAGACAGAGAGAGAGAGCGCGCGCAGAAGTACCAGGAAAACATGCTGGGAGTAAGCCCTGAGAACTGCAGGGTATGGCAAAAGACTAAGCCAAAATAAAACAGATATGAACAGCAAACCACACTCCTTTCATGTTTTCTGTTCTGTGAAAGATACCCACTGAGCACCTGCGATGAAATTTCTAAGTCTTGAGGCTCATCATGCCTCTGGTTTTTCAGTTCAAGAAAGCATGATGGGTGTCCCATGAGTCTTGCCCTGATGAACTTTTCACAGGGATCCAGGGAGCAGCCTCTCAGATTCCAGGCCCCCTTACCTACCTCATTATTGTGAACGTGGTCTTGCTCTTAGAAATAGCTCTTACCCATATGCTTAGACATCCCACAGACTTACCTACAATTTTTATAGTATTTGGTATTTTTCACTTCTTTTCTATGGTCCCCTGAACACAGAACACCACTGAGAGTGATCTCTGAGCATAAAACCAGCAGTAAGGCCCGAGCGCGGCAGGTGGAAGACCGGAAGGAAGGGTGGGGGAGAAGAAAAATCTCATGGGAGCTGTTAGGAGTCAGACGGCGCAGTGAGCATCACCCAAGCCCCAGGGGCCAGTCACAGGGTCCCACCTGGCAGCAGGATGGATGAGCACCAGCAGGATAGTGGGGAAGAAAATTAAATGAGCATAGAATATAGTCAGTCAGAGGGGATGAATGTACCCTTATAAAAGGTGAGACACTTGGAAACTGCCTCCCTCATCCCATTGGAACTCAGCATCATATCACACCTGCCAATGCAGATTGAAATCTTCCTAGTGGATTCTACTGCTCTCTGCCCCACTGGGTCTAGACTTGAAAGCATTTGTTATACCAACATGGCCCCTGGGTGTCTTTGCAGATGCCAAGAAGAGAACCACAGAAGTGGAAGGGAATAACCCCGTATGGAATGAGGTAAGTCTGTGACCATCCCAGTCACCAGGCTGATCTCAGCGCCTGCTCAGCTGTCCTGGAGCACATAGGAGCCACAGAGGATTCTCCCAAGGGAGAAACTGAGCTGTCCAAGCACTGCAGGCCGAATTGGCCTGGAGCTATTCTGGGACCTTCTCTCGCCCTGGGAATGGTTCCTGTCATGGTCCATCTTGCCCTGCCCAGCCAAGCTGATATTCCCAGGAGTCTCAAGCAAACCAGGGATCCCTTCTCTCTCCCATCCCCCCGCACCCTTGGTCCCCAAACCTCTTATCTACTAACATGGTACAGTATTTCCAGCCACAGAAGCCCAGAAACCTGTGCGGGTAGCAAACCCCATTTTCTTAGGAAATTAGACTTGAGGGCTGGAGCAATAGTACAGCAGGTAGGGGGCGCTTGTCGTGCATGCAACTCACCCAGATTTAATCATGCCATCCCATAGGGTCCCCAAAGCCCTGAGTAATTCCTAAACATCGCAGGGTATGGCCCTCCAAAAAAAACTAAAATAATTTTTGAGGAAACCTCAAAAGATATTTCCTCAGCTTGAGAGAATAGTACCCTCCTATTCCCCATATCTCCCCTCATCTGAAAGACCTCTATCTGCCTCTTGCAGACCCTAGTCTGGCACCTTAAGAACTTTCCCTTGCAAAATGACTCTTTCCTGCAAGCCATCCTTCGGAACAAAACCTCAGTGAAGAGTGAAAGGTAGGCTGGAGGGGCCCAGAGCAACAGTACGGAGGCAGAATGTCTTGCCTCTAACCAGTCTGGGTTTATCACCAGTAGCCCACGTGGTCCTCCTCTGGTGGGGAGATTATTTAGAACCCATCGATTGCTAGACTATCTCTAAGCACTGTCAGGTGTTGCCCAAACCTGAGTGTAGGAGGGGTGCTGGGGTGGGGGTAGGTGCACGGTTGGAGAGATAATGCAGTGGGTAAGGGGCTGCCTTCCATGAAGCCAACCTGGGTTGGATCCTAGCACCCTATATGGCTCTCAAGTCCCACCAGGATTGATCCCTAAGCACAGAGCCAGGTTATAAGCCCTGAGAACCACCACTTATGCCCTCCATAAAAAAGAAAGAAAGAAAGAAAGAAAGAAAGAAAGAAAAAGGTAAAGGATGGGATGAGAGGGTAGCTTGCTTTTTCATGTGTGAGGCCCCAAGGGAAGTTCCTGGAACCTCATGTGAAAGAGGAGGGAAGTGAGGGGAAAGGAGGGAAAGGGAAGAGGAAAAGGGAGAGGAAGAGGAAGGGAGGAAGGGTGGAGAGAAGGGGCAGGAAGCGGGGAGGAAAGGGACGGAAAAGTAATGGTGAAGAAGGAGGAGTTGACCCTCTGACTAAAGGTGCAGCAGATGCTGCATTTCTCTAGTGTATAATTCAGATGCAGGAACCAGAACCCCACTTCAGGCAGCTCATTAAGAAAATAAAAAAGGAAAGAAAATGGGAGAGCTGAAGAAGGCTAGCAAGTCTGAGACTAAGTCTAATTAGCCTGGGAGCCCAGTAACGGTTGTGTCTCCTCTGAGGTCACAGGGAAAGAGATGAGGTCTCAAATCTCCTACCTCTCTCTGCCACCCCCTGCTTCCTCCTACTGTCCAGTTCTAGTGCCCACTAATGCCCCAAGCTCAGGAATCCTAGGACAGACTCAGCAGATCCACTTCCAGCAAGTGTCCTCCCTATCTGCTTACCTGCTACTCAGTCATTTCAGTTCTGGGGCATAGGAGCAGAGATTCTGGAAAGAGCCAGTCAGTGGGATGCCATGTGCCCTGGAAACCCCATGCCAGGTCCCCAGAGACAGTCCTGCTCCCTCTGGTGGATGTTCCTTGCACTATGTTCTTCCATCTCTAGGGTGGGGAAGGATCCCCTTCTCCCTGCTCAGTAGCCTTGCCTGCCCCTTGTCTCCCCAGATTTATTGGCTCAGCCGTAATATCGCTCAAGCCTTTGGTGAAGAAACCAGATAAGGTCCTTTTCCTGAAAGACCTGCCCCTGATCAGCCAATATATGACGGTCTCAAACGTGAGTCGGGTCCTAGGAAGGGTGACTGGGGGAGTTAGTGTGGGGGGGGGGGTGCAGAGAATCCTGGAATACTGCACTCAGAGATTCTGTGACCTCCACTAGACAACAACCCATCAAACGCTGTCGTTATCTTCCCAACTCCCTCATGTACAGACCAGCCCTTCACCACCCTTCCACTGTTGCTTCTCCCCCATCCTCCAGAGTAAGTTGATAGATCATTCAGGGCTTGGGGTGCAACCCTGAAAAAGCCCATTGTCCACTGGAGTGGCAAGTACAAAAGCACACATTTACAAGGGTCAGTAATACGGCATCAGCGAGACCAGGAGTGAGTGAGGCCCCTGGGGAGGTAATGAAAGACTTTACAGCGGAAATGAATGGAGCCAAAGGGGAATAGGTGGGGCTATGGACTCAGCTTTATAGTTAGCAGAGGAGCCAGCCACCACCACGTGCACTTTGGAACAAAGAATAGCTCATCAGAGGAACGGGAATGATTTGTAGTTGTAAAAGTGATGAATCCAGGCACACCCTGCCTGATTTAAAGGCTATGGACATGAGGAACATGAAGACTTCTACACACTGACTTTCTTTAAGACTGGAGAGATAGTACACTAGATAAGACTCTTGTCTTGCATGTCGTCAACCCTGGTTCAATTCCTGGCACCGCTTATAGTCCCCTGAGCACCACCAGGAGTGAGTCCTGAACACAGCCAGATGTGGCGCATAAACCAAATCAAACAATACAAAACACATTTTGGCTTTCTTCAGTTGACCCTAAGTTGAAAGTGGAGACAAAAATGAAGGAAGCTGGGGCCAGAGCAATATACAGCAGAGGGTATTGGTCTTGCACACAGTTGACCTGGGTAACTCCGGCATCCCATATGGTCCCCAGAGCACTGCCAGGAGTAATTCCTGAGGGCAGAGTCAAGTGTAATTCTTGAGCATCACTGGGTGTGACTCAAAAAGCCAATAAATAATATTTTTTAAAAAATAGAAGGAAGCTTTTAGTTATTTGACAGTTCTGGGCATTTGAGGCTGGTCCTGATGGTTTGGCTTCTGGATGATTGCTAGAGATAGAGGTCTGAGACTCTGTCCAGACTGTCCATGGTTGATGAGCAAAGCTGCGTTCTGCAGAGTCTGGGTTCATTTCTTGAGCTCACCACTTGTAAACTTTGGATCAAAGTTCCATATTTATTTAATTAATTCATTTATTTATTCTGCACACAGCCAACATGGCCGACCCGAGTCCAATTCCTCCGCTCCTCTCGGAGAGCCCGGCAAGCTACCGAGAGTATCTCGCCGCACGGCAGAGCCTGGCAAGCTCCCCGTGACGTATTCGATACGCCAAACACAGTAACAACAAAGTCTCACAATAGAGACGTTACTGGGCCCGCTCAAGAAAATCGATGAACAATGGGAGGACAGTGACAGTGATTTATTTATTTATTTGTTTGTTTTGCTTTTTTGGGTCACGCCCGGCGATGCTCAGGGCTGACTCCTGGCTCTGCACTTAAGAATCACTCCTGGCAGTGCTCAGGAGACCATATGGGATCCAAACCCATAAGCTGGGAATCAAACTATAAGCTGGGAATCGAACCCAGGTGGGCCGCGTGCAAGGCAAATGCCCTACCCACTGTGCTATCGCTTCAGCCCCTAAAGTTCCATATTTATATGTGGTCAGGTAATTGTCCGCTCACATATTCTGTTTCTCAGATGACTCTTGAAGCGTATGAATCTGGCTGAAAGGATAATCCCCAGTTGGGGAGCCAGGGTATATGGTGTGAGAGCTGGAGGGACAAGGGCAGTGCGATCCTCCAGCGAGGGTGGGAAACTGAAGCAGGGGGAGCTGAGGCTTGGTAGGCAGCCAGGAGCCAAAGGAGGGTGTTGTGGTCTGTGCTGGACAGTTTCTCCTTTATTCTGGTGGTTTGGGGCACCTGAACAAGGTGTCCTGCCTGGCGTCCTTCAGGAGTTGGGTGGGGGTGCTAGAATGATACAATCCAATGCAGGGGACTTGGAACCTGGAATGCCATTGTATAAGGCTTCCTGTTGGTTCACTTGAAGAAAATAAAATTTTTTGTTTGTTTTCATGGTTTTTGGGTCACATCTGGCAGTGCTCAGGGCTTATTCCTGATTCTGTGCTCAGGGATCATCACTGGAGGTGTTTAGGGGAATTATATGGGGTGCTGGGGATTGAACTCAGGTTGGTACGTTCAAGGTAAATGCCCGACCCACTGAACTAGTGCTCTAGCCCTTAAAAGGATAGATTTTCTCAGGAGTGCTGGAAAGAGAGCATTAGACCCTCTGAATTCTGAAGGATGGGTGGGCAGGTGGAGGAGTCCCATGTATGACATCATGAGATCATGGGTGAGGGGAGAAGTGTTGGTATTAATAGTTCCAGATAGGTTCCAGTCACCTCTCCATCACCCCCCAGGTCCCCCACCACAGCCTGCCACCTGACTCATTCTCCAAATCCCCTCCTCTCTACCAAATTGCTCGCTCCCTCTGCAGGATGGAGAGCCAACAGCCTCCTCCTCCGCAGACACACAGGCTCTCCCAGAGTGGCCCCCTCCCATGGCCCGCATTGATCAGACTGGGCCGTGTTCTGAGGTTGTGACTTAGCCAAGGACACATAGTAAGGCTCACAGGTCATTGCTTTTGTCTTCCTTCCAGTGCACCATCTCTTTATATGTGTCTTATTTGGTCAAGCGGCAGTTCGAGGAGATAGGTATGTTCTTCCATGGGGCTTAGCTCTGCCCTGATCTGAATTTAACAAGTTTCTTAGCACTAAGCCCAGAGCTTAATGGGCTCATTGAGACCTAAGACATGTCTCTTGAGGCCCACACAGAAGGATTGTGGCCAGGTCAGGATATGGGGACAGTCACCCACTGAGGCCATCTGTTATCCCAACATGTCCTTCTGCTATCTCTAAGCCCAAGATTCCACTTCCAAAGGGCTGCAGATAAAGGTGGACTGAACATTTCTAGGAGTTTCCATGTGTGGGGCATTGGGCTTAAGGATCCTGAGTGACTGGGGGTAGGGGATGGGAATGTTCTTGAGAAAACATGTCATGCCTTTGCGCCTCATGACCATGATTTTTGGTGACAAACTGACCACTGGGGGTAGAGTTATTAAATGGAGGAGAAGGGGCAGGGCAGTAATTGAACAGGATTTGCATACAGGAGGTCTGTGTTTGATCCCCAATACCACATGGCCACGGAGCACCACTAGAAGTGACCCCCACTGCACAGAGCTGGGAGTTGCCCCAGAGCACTGCGGGGTGGGCCCCTCAAACATGATGAAATGGGGAAAGCACCTCAAAAGCTCCCAAGCCTCAGCCTCTGGGCACTCATCTAGACTGTGTTTCTCAGGGAATGAAGACCTCCTGGGCTTAGCCACTCGCGAAGTGGCCAAGCAGTATGTGACGTTCCCCAGCTCCTCCATGCCTAAAGCCCTGTCCTCTAAACCACAGCACTTCCAGGTGAGGCCCCTTCAGCTGAAAGACCCCTGTGCGCCTGCCCCCTGACACAGTCCCTGGTAGTCCCTATCTCTCTCCTTGACCTCAGTAGGCGGTTGGGCACATCAGGAGCCCTTCAGCTGTTGGCCACACCAGGCTGGCCATGTACCAGGTGGTGGAGAGTGTGAGAAGATTCCAGGTTTCAGTATGAGCTTTAGTAGCTCAATCCCACAACTTTCCAACTCCCCCAGGATGTGGAGTGTGTGACTGGCCCTCCCGGATGTAATTTCACCTGCACCCAGGCCTGCCCCTCACCCAGGAGCCTGGCAACCTTGACTGCTGCTCACCTTCACCCCACCTCCTCATCCAGCTTCCTAGTCCTCAGTCACCATATCTCCTGATGCACTTACTTCTTCATCATCTTTTTGTTCCCTGCCTGAACCACCATCCTCACATCCCTGGACCACCTCAACAAGCTTCCCCCAGATTCCTATCAGAGGAGTCTCCAAGATATGATTCTTCTCCTTTAGAGTATCCTTTAAAATGAGGACATGCCAGTCTCCTCAGGAACAAACTCAACGATGGGCCTTATGAGTTCTAGATAACCTAAGCCCACAGATATCCCCAGGCTGCAGCTTCCAGTCACCATCTCCCTTGCCCATCGCTTTTTTTTCCTTTTTTTTGCTTTTTGGATCATACCTGGAGATGCACAGGGGTTACTCCTGGCTCTGCACTCAAGAATTACTCCTGGAGATGCTTGAGGGACCATGTGGGATGCTGGAAATCAAATCCAGGTTGGCCGTATGGAAAGCAAACACCCTACTTGCTGTGCTATCACTACAGCCCCCTTGCCTGTCCCTCTTAACCCGCACCACCACCCCAGGAATGTCTAGGCCCCATTCTCAAATCTCCAGCCACCAGGCCTGGCTCATACTATTGTGTCCTTGGGAATACCATCTCTCTCTCTTATGAGATTCCATCCATTTCACCAAATTTTATTCCCACCAAGGTAGATCCCCAATTGCCCTCTCCCTCATGACTGAGGGAGGGCAGATTCAGACCTGTAAGGTTGGTCTAGTCCAATCTCTGAGGGTCTGGTAGCTGCATGTGTTTCATCCCTGCCACAGCCTTGAGAAAAGTGTCAGACCCATGGCCCGGCCTGGGAGGGCTATATGCTGACTACCCTTAAGCATCACAACAAACCCTCTCAACTATGCTCTGCCAGATATTAGCTCCACCTCCTCATCCACCCTGATATTTAGTCAGCTTGATCTCGTGTGGGCTCTGCCTGGCTCTTCTCCCTAATGCCTTCTGGTTGTAGAATGCAGATGTCACAGTCCCTTTACTGACTGGAAAGAGTATAAACATAACAGAAGCAGAAGCAGGGGTAAGGCTCAGCAGAGGGCACAAGCCATGCATGTGTGAGGTTCTGAGTACCATTCCTGCCTCTGCAAAACACACCCACATATAGGGGCTGGAGAGAGAGTACAGCAGGTGGGGCACTTGCCTAGCATGCTGGTTCAATCCCTGCCATCCTCTCTGGTTCCCTGAGCACTGCCAGGAGTAATTCCTGAGTGAAGAGCCTGAAGTAACCCCTAAGCATTGCCAGGTGTGACTCCCAAACCAAAACAAGTTAAAAAAAAAAACACAAGAAATCACAAATCAGGGATCAAATCACAGGTCACAAATGAACTACAGAGAACTTTAAAATGTTCAATTCCTTGGACAGGAGAGAGAAAAAGCTCAAAGAATTGAGCACCTGCTTTGCATACAGGAGGCTCCCTGGGTTTGATGACCAGCATGGTCCCCTGAGTACCAGTAGGGGTGATTCTTGAGCACTGGTCCAGGAGTAGCTCCCAGCAAAGTTGATTTGGGGGCATACAGCAAGTGCGGCCCCCAAATCAACTCAGTTCTGGAGAGATAGTACAGGGGTGAAGGCACCTGCCTTATGTGTAGCTGGCCCTGATTCAGTGGCCCCCCAGACTCTCAGGAATGATCCCTGAGCACAGAGCCAGGTATAAGCCTAGCAAAATAGGCCTTTCTGTAGCCCTAAAACAAAATATAACAAAAAGAAAATGAAACAAAGGATGAAATTTTCAATTCCTTAAAAAGATCATAGACAAAAATAAAAACCACTTAAACTGAGAAGCATGATACTATTTATTTTTCTTCTGTAACAAACCCCAAGTAATTGAGAAGAGAGCTCAGTCCATGCAAAATGACCCGGGCAGGGGAGGTGATGATGTCCAGGAGAGGGAAGGAGGAAGCTAGGCCCGCCCTGGGATGGGCAGGCAGTTGGTCTCTCTCCTCCAGTCCTTCTCCTGAGAGTCCTTCCTACCTGTTGAGAACGTTTCTTCTCAGGAAAAGTTTGCTCCTCAGGGCCCCTGTGTTCTCCTCTGCAGGTTCGAGTAAAGGTGTTTGAAGCCCGACAGCTCCTGGGTAATGACCTCAAGCCTTTGGTGAAGGTGGTCATCGGAAGCCAGATATTCCACACGCGCATCAAGATAGGAAACAACCCTTTCTTCAATGAGGTCAGGGCTGTGCCTGTAAGGGATAATTGGGGCACTTTGGCCAAATGGCCAGCGGCCCCTTGGCATTTCCTGCACGGACTTAGCAAGGAGGTTTCTTTGCTGTGGCTGTTGATGTTGTGGGGTCAGAGATCAAAGCCAGGGTCTCACTGAGGCTTCGAGCTCTCCCACCAGTTGAGCTGCAGCAGGCTTGGGCATGCCTCCAAACAAGGACGGCCACCTGTTTGTAGTATGAACATTTCCTGGGCATCCATGAAGGATCAAGCATTGTGATTCAAGTCCTGGGAAAACAGATGAAGTCATTCAGAACCCTACGTTTGAGGGGCCTTCAGCCTGTGCATGCCTACAATGGCCAGGGGTAAATTGACGTGAACCATTAACACGGTTGGGAAACACTGACCATGTGTGTCCCAAGGCCATCGGGACTCCATCTCACCGCACTGAGTCAGTTTTTTAACTTTTTAACATTTTCTTATAGGGCCATGCCCAATGGTGTTGGCCATGGTGGTGGGGGATAATGTGGTACTTGGATTCAAACTCAGGACCTTGCACATGCTGGGCATGTGCTCTGCCACTTGAATCTTCTCCTTGTAGTATTGTATCTGACACACAATAGAAATTCCATAAATGCTGGATAGGTGAAATTGTGACTAGAACAAACAAAAGATGAGAGTGGGTGGGGGGAAAAGAGCTTAAAGGACTAGAATGAGTCCTGGGTTTGATCCTAGACATTGCATGATCCCCTGAGCAGTGCTGGGATTGACTCCCCCTTTCCCACACCCTGCACGGACCACTCTCAGGAGTGCTCTCAAGCACTGTGGGTATGATCCCCAAACGATATAAAAAAAAAAAACCATAAAAGCATCTTACTTGGAGCAGAGAGGAATAACTAGAGAGGAGGTGGATAAGATCCCCAAAATCATAATCATAAGGGGATCATTTAACAGGAAGAGGGTCGATGGGAAAAGACAATTCGGGGAAAAGGGCCAGTGTCCAGAAGCCTGTAAGCTGGAAACAGCAGAACTTGGGCAGAGCTGTAGCTAGGGGACAGGCTGGAGGGAGCCTGGGATTTTGAGGAGGACTGGGGAGTGCTGAACGACTTGTAGAACAGTGACTCAGCTTCTTGTCTCTGAGAAATAGAGTTCTGGGAGCAGTGGGGAGTGGGGGCAGGATTGAAGATGCAGCCTAGAAGGAAGGGGAAACTCACACCCAGCCCAGCAGTGAGCAAGGCCTTGAGCTGCTTTGTGATGGCAGCTCCAGGACCCTGGCCCCTGCCCTGATCCCTCTGCAGACCCTGCAAGGGGCCTGCTCAGCCTCTGCAGCCAGAGGAGGCACGTTAGGCCGGCACCGTGTGGCAAGTCCCGCAAATGGGCAGATGAGGGGAAGCAGTAGGCTCTGCCCAGTCTTCAGGTTCACAGAGCTCCTTGTGGAAAGGGGTGGCAGAAACATGATCTAGCCCTACCTACATTTTCTCCTTCAGATATTTTTCCACAACTTTTATCAAGTTCCAGCAAAGTTCTTCGATGAGCCCATATTGATACAGGTGAGGAATCAGATGAGATGGTTTTGCCTCCTTTTTTTTTCTTTTTGGGTCACTCCTGGTTCTACACTCAGGAATTACTCCTGGTTGATCTCGGGGGACCATATGAGATGCTAAGAATCGAACCCCGGCTGGCCGCGTGCAAGGCAAATGCCCTACCCTCCATGCTCTCTCTCCAGCCCCAGTGTTGCCTTCTTACCCACCTTAATTCTTGGAGATACTTGAACTCCAGTCCCCCATCCCCACTTTAAATTCAGAGTGGCTACAAATACGTTCCTTTTCTTTTTCTTTCCCTTTTTTTTTTTTTTTTGCCACACCCAGAAATTGCTCAGGTCTTACTCCTGGCTTTGTACTTAAAGATCACTCCTTGTGGGCTCTGGAGTAGGATAAGGGATGCCATGGACACAAGCAAGGGAAGTACCTTACCTCCTTCACTATCTCTCCTGCCTCTGAGTTCCTTTTCTAACCCCATCTTCACTGCTATCTTCATTCCCAAACAGTCCACCCATCCCCATATCTCTGCTTAACATACATTACGGAATTGCAACTGCGAGGCTCCCAGCCAAGTTTGAATATGAGCAAAGTACACCTTCCATGGGCCAGGATTCATACTATCAAAAGACCTCTTGGTTCCTCTCTCTGTGAGGTGTCCCATTCTCGGAGCAGCAAGTCCCATAACAGAAGGGGACAGGTATGTGTAAGCACCTCCTATAGGACCAGCACAGGGCTGAGTGGTCAGGCTCCTGGGAACACAGGACAGCGTGCAGCTGAGAAGACTGGGTGCTTTGGGAGTTGTGTTCTCTGATCCATCCCCTCACTGATTAGGTCTTCCTCTGAGAATGGCAGAGAAGAACATGTATTGAAGTGTCAACCAACAGGAATGGCAGGAGAAAACCTGCATATAAGTGTCAACCAATAGGAAGGGTTGAGTAAATACTGGAAAAGCTCAAATGTGTCCTTACAGGCACTTTCATGGGAATGTGGGTATCGGGTTCTGGGAATAACATATTTCTGGCATTCCCCCACAGGTGTTAAATTCCACGGTGTTGAAATTCCAGTCAGAGATCGGGAGATTCCAAGTGAGCACTAGATACAAGAGGAGGTTTGGGGAGATTGTTAGAAACCACCCCTGGGGCTCCCTACCTGTGTGTAGAAGAAAAGACTTGTGTTTCCAAGCAAAAAGTGCTCTCCCCCTGATAGTGTCTCCAGTTTGTTGGCTTTTATGCATCTTGCTGACTAATCCAATGCACTTTTGTCTTTTCAGACAGATATTGGATTTATATACAATTCTCCAGGTGGGTATCCACAGTTGCAAATATCCATGTTTGCTGATAAAAAAAAAAAAACCCTAGGTGTTAAAATGTCTCAAAAACTCCCTTGTGTTCATCAAACCTATTGGAGAGTATCACTATTTTCTGTACTTAATTTCTCACAGAAGCTTAATTAATGCGCTTTGGTTTGGTTTTAGGGCCACACCTTACAGTTCTCAGGGCTTAGTCCTGACTCTGCATCCAGGGAAAACTCCTAGCAGGGCTATGGGGACTGTGGGTTCTGGGAACCGAGCCCTGTTCAGTCATATGCAAGGACTTCCCTGCTGTACTAGCTCTCAAGTCCCAGACCTTAAGGCATTTTATTTTATAGTAACCTCTCTCCAAAAAACTCTAGGCATTCCTTTGGATCAGTGTTACCCTTTTATTGATGCCTCTGGTTAAAATGTCTGTTAATTTAGTTTTGTTTCATTTGTGGGGCATACCCAGCAGTGCTCATGGGTTACTCCTGGCTCTGTGTTCAGGGATTAGTCCTAGTGTTGCTCAGGGGACCATATGGGGTGCTGGGTTCGAACCCAAGTCAGCTGCATGCAAGGCAAGTGCCCCGCCCACTGTAAGATCACTCCATCCCCATGGGTTTTTTTGTTCTATATTTTATTCTTTTCTCCTTTCCTTCGGTGTGTTCATGCATGCTTGGTCATGGGACTCACTCAGCAGCAGAGCTTTAGGGGGCGGGTGGGCTACTTCTGGGCACATTTTGGCTTATCATGTTCAGGGCATCCCCGTGATGCTCACATGAGCTTTGTGGGGTGCACTCTTAGCAGGGAGCTTGCACACCTTTAGCCCTGGGGCTGACAGATTGTGATTCATAGCTGTGGTGCTCTCACATCCCCGCTGTGTACCAGGGAGCAAACCTGCCACAGTTCCAGAGATCCCCAGAAGTGGAGCCATGGGGACCATGCTCAAGGCATGGGGACAGCACTAAGGGTCACACTCTTGTCTTCACCCTTGCCAAGCAGACTTGAATGGCCACCCAGCCATCCTCTGGGTCCTGAACACCTGTTATTTGGGACCTGTATGGGGAACTGAAGTTTGAGCAGAGGTTTCCATGGCAACCCAGTCCTAACCCCATAGAGCAGGTGGAGATTTGAAACTGGGGCTGGGGAAAATGGTGGTCTGTGTCAGACCAGGAGGTACTGCCTGCTGGTTCATGGCATAGGAAGGTGGATCACTTTTTCCTAAAGGCAATATGTTGCCCCCAACCTCTGAGTCACAGTCAATGCCACCGGGAGAAGTATCTCTGAGTCTCCTCAGTGACTGAGCAGAAAACAGATCACACAGACAGACATTCCACATACCTTTCCCACAGTCACTCCTGGAAGGGCTCAGGGACCACCTGGGGTGCTCAGGCTCGAACCCAGGCTGGCTGCATGCAAGGTAAAAGTCCCACCCACTGTACTGTGGCTCTGGCCCCTAAACTGACATTCTAAAAGACTGACTTAGAATGGACCTGAACACTGAGGCTGGTATGAAGTTATGCCTAGCCTCAAATGAGCGTGTGCAAGAGTATGCACGCACGCACACACAAACATACACACACACACACACATGCACACGCATAGACGTGCACATGGACATACACATGCACACAGCTGGACTCCAGTGCAGGCTCCCAGCTTCCAACAGAGCAGAGGCTGCTGGGAGATGGGCTGGAGGATCGCAGCGCTCAGGCCGTGCTATCAAGACTGGTCTCAAGAAAGAAAGATAAAGACTGGAGGCTGGTCCCCCAAGGCCCCTCTGCCTCTGCAGGTCACATGCTCCTGAGGAAGTGGCTAGGCCTCTGCCAGCCACAGAATCCCACCTCTGGCTTGCAAGGCTACCTGAAGGTCACCATCTGTGCCCTTGGCATGGGAGACCAGGCCATGGTGAGGCTGCACCCCAATCCCAATAACATTTTCTACCCTGTGGCTTCCACTTGGCCCTCGGATGACCCTTGATACTTTTGTGAGTATGTTTGAGGAGGTGCCACCACTAGTAATGCTCAGGCACTCCTGGCAGTGCTCGGTACACCATGCAGTGCCAGGGGTTAACCCCCAGGTGCCCACATGCAAACCCTTTCCTCCAGCCCTTAGAGCCATTCCCAGCACAGTGACTACCGATATTTGTGTGACTTCATTTTCCCACAGGGTCACTTCAGGGTGGTCCATATTCCTATCCCAACCCCATGCTACCCTGATATGTAGAAGTTCAGGAAAGCCAAGTCTGGTGGTCTTGGCTGTGACCTTCCTATGACCGTGATGCAATCAGTCCTCTGATCCCTCCAGGTAGATCAAAGGATGCTCTATGAGACAGATGACACTGACCCTAAGATCTTCAGCTCATCAGTGGTACCGATCAACTTCTACTACCTGGAGTTCCTGATCTACTGCGCAGAAGATCTGCACCTCAGTTAGAAGCTGGGTGGGAGGGAGTGTGCCTTGGATTCTCATGGGTCACTTTCCTTTCCCATTTTGACACTAACCTAATATTTGGGAGTGGTGGGAGGATGAGGCTGAAGTTCCCTCAGCATTGTCTCAGGAAGGCCTGGGGGAGCCCTTATGATTGGGCCCCACTAAATGTGGCTTTCTTGCTGTTGAGGAGGGTGTAGGCCTCTGACATGTCTTTGATGTCTAGATGAAAACTCAAGGCTCCCTCTGCCAACCCCCACCCCTATGGCCCTGGTATGCCCTGACAGCTGGGGCACAGAGAAACAGCATAGAAACGGGAGAGGCCTATTCTGGCGCATCTTACCAGCAAGTAGAGGAGAGGGTTCAAGTGATTTTTCTATTTTCTGTTTCTTCCCCTTAAAAAACAATGCTGTCGTCTCAGAAACTGTTCAACATTTTGTTCACAGAGGCCGGTCAGTTAGTGAATCCCAGGTTGGAGGTGGAAATGTTTGGGGAAAAGGTGAGTGTCGAAGTGTGTGAAGGGAAAGACTGAGTTGGTGGGTGGGAGCCCAGGAATCCTATCCTAGCGTTTCCAATAATGGGTGGTGGGCCGCCTTGGATTAGGATCTCTGCCTTAGTCACAAATGCACTAAAGAGTGGGTGAGTAGATGAGAGAATGAAAGAACACTTGCAAATGAATGACATTAAACCTTTCACTGTTCCCTTTGGATCTATGTTTCTTCATCTCTAAATGAAGGGCTGGGGATTGACCATAAATCTCTATGAAGTTCTCTGCACTCTCTAGAGAGTAGCATTTTCCCAAATGTGCTGATGGGAAAAAAAAGATATCCTATATTCAAATCTTGGGAATGCTGGATGAAAGATGAATAGGTTTGTCTCAATTCATACAGCCATAATTTACAGCTTATTCTACCTGTTAGAAGCATTTAAATACAGCCCTGGGTTGGGGGAGGGAAATGCGTGTGCAACATTTGATGGGAGGAGTACAGAAGGATTAGTGGACGTACTTTTAAACCACCTCACTGAGTATTAATATCCCAGTGAGTGTGTGGGATTCCCCAGAGTGAGAAGAGATACCTTGAATGGTAGATGGCATGCAGTTTTCAAAAAGTGTTTTATATTCTTGTGGCTTGGGGTATATTAAAAAGTTTAACCATTGTAAAGGACTGGAGAGCTAGTACAGTGAGTATGGCACTTGCTTTGCACACATTCAACTCTAGTTTGATCCCTGGCACCACACATGGTACCCGGAGCACCACCGGGAGTGGCCCCTGAGCACAGAGCTAAGAGTAAGGCCTGAGCACTGTGGGGGTTCACCCCCAAATAAAAACAAACAAAAGAATTAAATCCATTGGAAGTTGGTTTGAGGGAAAGTCTGGGTCATGGCGGGCACACAGAATTGAGACGGCAGCGATAGGCTGCTGCCTGGCGTCTGTGCACCTGGCTCTGCCCTGCTGCAGAAGTCAGAGACTGGGGGGTGTCGGCACTGATGCTGCTTTGGGGTCTTTCCAGCTCATGACCAGGGTGCTGAACGAAACCGAGAACCCGATATGGAATCAAATCCTGGTCTTCAAGATTCAGGTATGGCAACTGCATCACACCTGCCGCCCTCCTCCTCCTGCTCGATGAAGGGAAGTCAGGGGGCTTGTACAGGGAAATGGATGGAAAGTGGGAGCCAAAAGGTATGGGAGGGGGTGGGAGGGATACTGGGATCCTTGGTGGTGGGAAATGGGCACTGGTGGAGGGATGGGTATTTGATCATTGTGTAATTGAAACCCAGGCACAAAAATTTGTAAGTCTACAACTGTACCTCATGGTGTCTCACTAATAAACATTTTTAAAAATAAATAAATAAATAAATAAATAAAGGTATGGGAGGATGGGGAGCCCTGATAGGAGCATGAAGAAGCCCATCACAATTTATGGGAAATTTTGCTTTATTTATTCAGTATTTGTAGTCCTCTCCACACCACATCTTTGGACCCTTGTGCTGAACCTCTGGCCTAGTTAGCAGACAGTCACTGAAAGGGCCCTGGGGCCTCTTGAGCACACCTAGAAGACCTCATGATAAATTATTCTAAAAAGTCAAAATTGGGGTCGGAGCCATAGTACAATGAGTGGAGTGCTTGTCTTACACACAGATGACCTGGATTTAATCCACAGCACCCCATATGGTCCCCCAAGGCCACCAGGATCACTATCGCTGAGTGAGAGCCAGGAGTAAACACTGTGCATCACTGGGTTTGCCCCCCCCACCAAAACAAATAAAAATAAAATTATCTCAAGGGGTTAGTGGGGAGGGAGAAGACACTTCGTGCTCTGGTGGGATGCACTTCATTTATGGTGGGGACAACATGGGGTGCTGGGGATAAAGCCCAGGTCAGCTTCATGCAAGGCAAGCAGCTGTACTCTCTCTGGCGCCTACTTTTTAAATTATTATTAATTATTATTATTATTATTTGCACTCAGTGATAATTCCTTGCAGTGCTCGGGACCATAAGGGGTGCTGGGGATTAAACCTAGGTTGTCATGCTCAAGACAAGCACGCTACCTGCTGTACTATCGCTCTGGCCCCTGACTCCAACACTTTCTAATCTTTGAGGCTAAGTGCCCTGAATATAATCATAATTCTTTGTTGGTGGCCTGGTTAGCAAACAGGAACATGGTTCCTAACGAGCGACATGAAGTAGGGGGTTATTTGTCCCTCACTGCGGGGCCCAAACTCTGTTTTGTAGTCTTCTCTCACAACCTGAAGGTCTCCTCAGTTCCCCATAGCAGTGTGGGTGCCAGTTCGACAATGCCCACCCCCCAGCAGTGGTGTGTAGAGTAGGACTAAGTGGCTGATAGCCCAGAGACTGCTGATGTGAGCACTGTCAGGGTGCAGGGACACTTTCTGGTGCCCGAGAGCATGCTGCTTTCCTCACACATGATATCTGTGTGATGTCAGTGACCTGGTGACCCAATGAGCTCCCCTCCTCCTCCTCATGGTTTAGGACGTAGGAGGGACGGTGGTGGAACACAAAATAGCCAGGATAGAAGTCAGGGCTTTTCCATGCAAAACATGAACTCCAGGACCAGAAAGAGTAAACAGGATTTAAGGCACTTGCCTTGTGCAAGGTCAAGCCTACTTCGGTCCCTGACAGAACATACATTTCCCTAAGCACCTCCAGGAGTGACCCCTGTGCACCACCAGAAACAAAACAAAACTTGCGCTCCAGCCTTGGTGCCTGAATCATCATTTTCCACCATTCTCATATGCTCCACCTTCTTGAATGATTTTCTAGACTCTTAAAGGAGTAAATGATGTTAGAAGGGACGTAGACCCATTTCCCATCTTTGCCAAGTGTTCCTTCCTATCTGCTCAGCAGGAGGCCCACGACTGACTCCTCAGTTGCTCTGAGACTTTAGGAATCCTCCCTTGGGCTGAGCTGCCTTTTTTTTTTTTTTTTTTGACCACACCCGGCAATGCTCAGGGCTTACTCCTGACTCTACACTGAGGAATCACTCCTGGCAGTCCTATGGAGACCATATGGGATGCTGGGAATTAAACTGAATCAGCTAGGAGCAAGACAAACACCCTAACTGCTGTACTATCACTCCTGCCCAGGTACAGCTGCCTGGAGGCTTTCCCAGTGTACTCACCAGGTTCCTCCCTCCCTGAAAGAAGCCAGAAATGCCCAAGCTCCTCCTGCAGCCTCACCCTTTTCCCGCAGAGCACAGGCTCCAGGCTGGGCCATGGGGATGCAGGGCTGCTCATCACCAGCCCTCTGACACCAGAATGACTGGCACTTCACAGTCTCTGTGGCCAGTTGGTCAGGGTACCAGGGTACTGGAGCAGGGTCTGCTGAGGATGGTGGTGCCTCTCCATCAAAGAGGGACCTCAGAACAGAAGAAAGGAAAGCCAAAGATCTAGGAAAGGGGAGGATTCTTTTCTTGCATACTTTGTGTTTTTAATTTTGGGCCACACCCACCTGTGCTCAGGGCTCACTCCTGGGCTCCATGCTCTGGGATCACTCCTGGCAGGTGTAGGACCATACAGGGTGCTGGGGATCGAACCTGGGTCAGCCCTGATGAGCAAGGCAAGTGCCTTTCCTGCTGTACTATCACTTAGGCCACACAGGAAAATCCTTTTTTTTTTTTAAGAATTGCACTGTCTGTCACTGTCCTCCCATTGTTCATCGATTTGCTTGAGTGGGCACCAGTAATGTCTCCATTGTGAGACTTGATACCGCTTTTGGCATACCAAATATGACACAGGGAGCTTGCCAGGCTCTGCCATGTGGGCAGGATACTCTCGGTAGCTTGCCAGGCTCTCTGAGAGGGACGGAGAAATTGAACCCGGGTCGGCCGTGTGCAAGGCAAACACCCTACCCGCTGTGCTATAAAATTATTTATTTGGAGGTGACTTCTGTGACTTTTTTTTTTTCATTGAATCACCATGAGATACACAGGTAAAGCTGTTCATGGTGACAGTAGAATTCTTAATGTGTTGGCTGATGAGATGGATGGTCAAAAATTCCCATTTGTTGGATTCATAACCTTAAAACATGGGGCAGCCTGACAGGATCCCATGATTCTTCTTCCAATGTGATGAACCAGCTGCTCCCCACTAGAGCACTTTCCTGAGACACACCACAGCACTTCCAGCTGAACAGACAAGGGGACAGAGGAGCTGGGAGACTGCTCAGCCATTCCTCAGGGGCTACCATGAGGGAAAAGGCCCAGTAAAGGGATCTGGGTCCCAGTTAGGTCTCAAACATGGTAGCAGTACATTTTTGTGTGTGTGTCGGGGGGAGGGGGCTCACACCTGGTGATCCTCAGGGGTTACTCCTGGCTCTGCACTCAGGAATTCCTGGAAGTGATCAGGGGATCATTTGGCAGTGATCAGGGGACCATTTGGGATGCCAGGGATCAAACCCAGGTCAGCTGCATGCAAGATAAATGTCCTACCCATTGTACTATTGCTCCGGCCCCTAGCGGTGCATTTTTTTCTTTTTGGGTCACACCCGGCAATGCACAGGAGTTACTTCTGGCTCTGCACTCAGGAATTACCCCTGGCAGTGCTCAGGGGACCATATGGGATGCTGGGAATTGAACCCGGGTCGGCCGTGTGCAAGGCAAATGCCCTACCCGCTGAGCTATTGCTCCAGCCCCATAGCAGTGCATTTTTTAAGAAAAATATTTGAGGGCAGGCTAGAGAGATAGTATACTGGGAAAGGCATTTACCATGCATGCAGCCTACCTGGTTTTTTCCCCAGGTCCCATATGATCCCCAGAGACTGCCAGGAATGATCCCTAAGCACAGAGCTGAGCCAGGAGTAAGCCCTTAGCACTGCCAGGTTGGCACACACACACACACACACACACACACACACACACACACACAGTTAATTGCTAATGTGGGAGAGATAATACTGCAGGAAATCACTTACCTTGAATATGGTCAGCCCTGGTTCCATCCCTGCACCACGTATCAGCATTATCAAGAGAGATCCCTGAACACAGAATCAAGAGTAATCCTTGAGCACAGTCAGGTGTGGGGAAAAAAAGAAACCGGCCCTGCTTGCTGGAGTGGAAGGGATAGTACAGGAGCTAAGGTGCTTGCCTTGCCCAAGGCTGATCAGGTGCATTCTCCAGCACTGCCTATGGTTCCCCTATCCCTGCCAGGGTCAGTCTCAAGTACAGAGACCAGAATAGCTCCTGAAAACTGCTGTGTGACCCTAACTATCATACTCCCCCACCAATAGCCTCCCTCCCAAAAAGTGAACTGCTAGGACTGGAGAGAGGTCAGTGGACAGAGTACATTGGTCCCCCCAAGCACTGCCAGGAATGATCCCCAAGCACAGATCTGGGCATAGCCTCAAGTGTCACCAGGTGTACCCTCCTCCCAAATAAAGAAATTAAAAAAAAATTTTTTTTCAGTTAACTGCTCGGCATGATGGGGAAATATGGAGACATTAAAGCCCCCTGCCCCCATAAAATATTTCCATAAACAGTTGGGGTGGGCACCAGGTCTTGCAGGTTCTGGAGCTTATGCAATTAAGGGGTCAAGTGAAGAAAAAAATATATCAAAGGACCCTGGGGCACAGTCCTAAGCAACTCCCAGGAAGGGCTGTTGCAAGAGGGTGTCCCCAAAGCCAAAGAGGGCTAAGCTCCCAGCATCAACTGACCTCATCCGTGGCTGCGGCTCACGGGGACTAGAGAGAGTCTGAGACCCACACCCCCCACAAAGGGCGTCTGAGTGACCCCACCTCTCCTCTTACCTTTCCCTGGCAGATGCCCTGTCACTCCAGCTACATCAAATTCAGAGTCCTGGACTGGTGAGCACTGGGGTGGCTGCTGGGGAATGTGGGAGGGGACGCGGACTGGGTGAGAGGCCCAGAGGCACAGAGTGTTTCCCCCTCCAGCCTCGGCGGCAAAACACAGAGAGAGATTGGAACTGTCAGGCTCTACCTCAACCAGATCTCCTCTACGGGAGCAGAGCTAGAGGGTAAGCAAGCCTCTGCCCCGCACCTGCCTCCCAATCCCCTCCTATATGACCCCAACCTCCTTCTCTCTCCTTCCAGGAATGTACTCCGGCTTCTTACCCTGCTTTGGCCCTGGTTTCCTGATTCTCCATGGGGGTGAAAAGGCCCCTTTCAGGATCCAAGAAGAAGGCGCTGTAAGCTGCTCATCAATTCTAGGGGGCGCAGGGGCAGGGGGATGGGTGGGATAAAATTCATCTTGCCAGGGCACTGGAACTGGGGAATTACCCAAGGAGGACCCAGTCCTTGCTCCTGTCCACAGTTTCTTGTGGATGGCCTTGAATCTGAACAGAATGGCTACGGATACACAGGGTGTTTGGCTACCTCTGAAGCACTGCCAGGAGACACGCATAAGCACAGAGCCAGGAATGGCTCCTGAGCACATCTGGACAAGGTCTAATCCTCCACACACAGACTCACAGACACACACACACACACACACACACACACACATACACACACACAGAGTGCTCTGAGTGTTCTCTGAAGTGGGGGATACTATGATGAGTTCTTAGATTTTTTCAGCAGATGCAGAGTATGTGTGAGACAACAGAACTGGCACAGGTTGGGGCCAGAGCGATAGTACAGCTGGTAGAGCATTTGCCTTGCATGCGGTCAATCTAGGTTTGATCCCCGACATCCCATATGGTCCCTCAAGCAATGCCAGAAGTAATTCCTGGTGCAGAGTCAGCAGTAAGCCCTGAGCATTGCCAAATGTGACCCAAATAGCCAAAATAAAACGAAATTAAAATTAAAAAAAAAGAACTAGCACAGATTAAAATATAAGGGAAGGGAGAGAGAAAGAGAGCCCCCCCCAGAAAGAGCCTATCTGATTCCCAGTAACTGAAGTGAACACTGCCAGAATTGAGCCCAGAGCACTGAGCCCAGAGTTACCCCTGAGCACTGCAGGGTGTGGCCCTTGAGCCAAAACTATATATTTATAAACTATAATATATGCTCGAGCGGGCCCAGTAACGTCTCCATTGGAGACTTTGTTGTTACTGTGTCTGGCATATCGAATACTCTCGGTAGCTTGCCAGGCTCTCCGAGAGGGGCGGAGGAATCGAACTCGGGTCGGCCATGTTGGCCGCTTGTAAGGCGAACACCCTACCGCTGTGCTAAGTGTATATTATAGTATAAACATATATATGCTGGATCACAAGATCAATGCCATAACTTGAATGGACAAAAGAAGAGAATGCAGCAGGAAAGGGTCTGAGGAGGAGGATCTCAGTGCTATTTGGAGGTGCTCTCTGTCTTTCTGACCTCTGCTGCCCTTATCAACTCTCAGCTGCTCCTATTGCCACCAGCCTCCTGGCAAACATGTGGCTTTAGAAGACACTAATTGGGAAGGCAGTGGGGAGCATTCTAACAGGCACACTCTGTTCAGAAAAACATTGCCGCTAAGGGGGCAGGTCATGATCTGATTGGTCAGGCTTGATGTGGACATCAGTAATTGCCACAGATCCCTCCAATCAGGAGGCATTTATAATCCTGCCAGTTGGTCAGCAGGTATATTGCATGGAGAGGAATACGGCCTTAAAGGTGTAAGAGTTTCCACGCACGTCCAGTCTAGGGTATTTGGGACTCCTCCCTGTAAGACAAGCGGGCCACCCTCTCTGAGTGACACCTCAGCAGAGATTTTCCTGCTTTCCTCATGTGCTCACCGTTATCCTCCATGTTCCTCCAGACTCTGCCCAGCTCTGTTAAGGATGGATTGGCTTATCGAGGCCGGGTCTTCTTGGAGGTGATAGCCCGTGAGACGGCCCGACGAAACCCTCATATGAATGATCTCTCCTTAGAAGTGACTAGCATGGAGGTAAACTCTGCAAAGAGGTTGCTGCAAAAGCAAGTGTTTCTCTCCTTACCCCAAATCTGCTGTGGGTTTGCTGCTGACCCTGCAAGGGACTATGGCCACAAGCTCAGTACACTTCAGGGTGGGAGCGGGGGATGGAGGATGCTGGGTCCATGCACCTGAGTCTCTCCTAAACCTCCCTGGGGTCGGTCTTCATGCCCTGCCCGGTTCCAGCTGGCCAGGGGACAAAGGTTTTGAGTGAAGAGCTGTGTCATCCAGTTAGGGATAAATGAAGTGGAGGAAGTGTGGATTTCTTCCCGGAGGCAAGGAAGGGCCACTGAGGCAGGAAAGGGCAGGAGGAGACAGGTCAGAATAGAATGAGGACAAGTAGGCCAGAGAGAAGTGAGTGGGTCACTCCATCCAGAAAATCGGGTTATAGTCTCAGGGAGGAGAGTTGATTCCAGAAACCTTTGGAAACAACGATCGGGGCCAGTGACTGTTTTTGACATAGGCCTGTTTGGACAACCCCTCTAGGGGGCTGCTCATTTTCTGCTGCAGATGACAAGATGGGGCCAGCATGCCGACATTGGCTTCCTGGAGGAGCAGGTTAGGGGGCCATGGTGCCCCCTTTTGGTTTGTGCTTATGTGAGAGCCACACAGTCTACTCCCTGAAGCTGCGACACACAGGGAGTGTGTCATCTGAACACGGACTTGTGAGGAGTGGGGTAGGGGGTGGATATGACAGAGAGAGAAAGGCCAAGGGAGCCGAAGGCACTGAGACACAGAGGCAGAGGAGCAGGGTTTGCCGGAGAATAAGGAGGTGCCTGCGAGAGGACCATGGGGCATCTTTCAGCCTTGGATGGGGTGAGGAGATATCCACTGGTTATTGGGAGAGAACAGGGAGCCTTGGGTCAGAGAGAAGTCAGGCCACAGTGGACAGGAAGAGTTGGAGAGGCAAGGCCAGAGAAACTCGGTTGGAAAGTGGAAAGAGATGAGATCACAAATAAACCAAAAAGGGGCCTCAGAGGGAGGAGGCTGTTTTTGTTTGTTTGTTTCATTTGTTTTGGGCTTTTTGGTTCACACCTCGAAACGCTCAGGAGTTACTCCTGGCAGTGCTCGAGGGACCATATGGGATGCCAGGGATCGAACCCGGGTTGACTGCCTACAAAGCAAATGCCCTATCTGCTGTACTATTGCTCCGGTCCCTTGTTTGTAAAATCAGGGTGGACTTGAGGTAGTTAATGACTAGAAGAAGGCAGGAACGGAACAACAGAACTAGAGAGGGGCTCACGGATGGATGGCAGGGCTCAGAATATGTGTGGTATACTGGAAGCAGGAGGATGCTCGAGGGTAGCCAAGAGCAAAGGAGTGTGTGTGTGTGTGTGTGTGTGTGTGTCTGTGTCTGTGTCTCTGTGTGTATCTGTGTATGTGTATATCTGAATGTCTGTGCATGTGTGAGATTGTGTGTGTTTGTGTTTGTGCTTGTGAATGGATGTGAATGGATGTGTGTGAGAATGTGTGAATGTGTGGGTGTGTGTGACAGCATGTGAATGTGAGTGCGTGAGCGTGTCAATGCATGTCATGTGAGTGTGTATGTGTGAGAGTGTGTGTGTGTGACTGTGTGTAGAGAGAGGATGTGTGGTGAGTGTATATGTGAGTATTTGTGAGAGAGTATTTATGTATGTGTGTGAGCATGTGTGTGTATGTGTGAGACAGAGTGTGCATGTGTGTGTGAGTATGTGCTACACGTGCACACACAACTTGGCTACCCATACTCAGCGTCGTCCAAGGAGAATGTTCCAGAGAAGAGGAAAGGTGAGGGGCAGTGGTGCTCAGAGCCAGTCTTGCCAGAGAAAAGTGCCTCCAGTCTTGAGGAAGGGAAGGGAGGGGACTGTCTTGGTGGAGTGAACCAGATAAGGGGGACAGCCCGGTGAGGGGGAGTCAAGGCAGGTCTGAGAGGAAGGTCATGTTCAGTGATGGTCTGACTCATCCTGGAAAAAAGCAAATATAGCTCTGGAATGAGCAGGACATCTGCCAGCCCTTCGCTGTGTTCATCCATTGGTTTATGTACTGGAAATGCAAGGTGTGGTTATTGTTTCAGAAACAACAGAACCGCCAAAAGTATGGGCTATGTGTCATCTTTCTTTCCTGTACCATGATGCCCGACTTTAAGGACCTGATCCAATTTGAGGTCACCATCGGCCACTATGGAAACAAGATGGACCTGAGCTACAAGCCTCTGGTCTCAACCACACAGTACAGCCCAGTGATCTATGACGGTAATAATCAGACCCCCAAAGGGTCAAGAGCAGCTACTGTGTAGGGGGCTCAATGCTCAGATTTATTCTGGGAATGGAAGTTTAGGGCCTCACCCAGCAGTGCTCAGGGCTCACTGCTAGTCCTGTATTCAAGGATCACTCCTGGACGTGCTTAGGGGACCAGATGGGGTGTCAGGGATCAAATCCAGGTTGGTTGTGTGCAAGGCAAGTCCCTTAGCTGCTGTATTATCTTTCTCTTGATCCTTTTGTTTTATTGGTTGGGGGGGGCAGTACAGAGCCATACCAGGCAATGCTCAGGGGTTACTCTTGGGATTGCACTCAGAAATTACTCCTGGCAGTGCTTGGGGGGACCACATGGGATGTTGGGGATCGAACCTGGGTCAGCCACGTGTAAGGCAAGAGCTCTCCCTGCTGTACTCTGACCCTTCTCTTGGCCCTTTGAAAGAAATCAATGCTCAGGGAACACTCCTAGGCATTGTGAATTCATATTTTACACATGAGGGAAATGAGTGTTAGTTCACTGAAGCCCCCTGTCAAACACTGTAAAGTTTATAGGTAATGAGACTATGACAAGAGTTGGAAGTAAGCCCTTTTTTATGCCACATTCTGCACAATCCACTCCCTCAATTTTATGTTTTCCCACTACTTATCACTTACCCATCCAAGCAAGCAGCACTTCATCCACCCACCTTCGGTTCATTCACCGGCATCCAAGTATCCACCCCTTTGTTCATTCGGCTCCCATTATTTGCTGTCCCTAACACCCACCCAACTTATCACCCATATGTTCAGCCCATATTACATACTGCACACTTGTGCCAGCTACTATCGAGTAGGAGTTCTCAAAGTACTCAAACTGTGAAAAATGCAGATCCTTGACTCTTCTCCAGACCTACAAAAGCAGGAAGTTAGAATTAGTCATTTTTCGTCATGAAACATCATCTTTTATCATGCCCTTCAGGTCACCAAGATGCTTGCTAAAACCTGAGAACCACTGCTCTTGTGGTTCCAATTTGCCAGTGTCACTGTCTCGTCACTGAAAGCCTGTCAGGGAGTGGTGCTTAGGGGTCACACCCAACAGTGCTAGAGTGGGGGGGGGGGGTGGTCATACAGTGCTGAGAATGGGGATTGAACCCAATGTCTCACACATGCAAGACAAGTAAGCCTCTATGATTATTCCATGCCTCTACCTGTTTTTATTTTCCTTTTTCTTTTTGTTTGGGAAACACAAACAGTGCTTCCAGGCGGCATGCTTGTGCTGGGGCAGAAAGGTCACCCTGGGTGGTACTCAAAGGTGGTGCTACAGATGGAAACCAAGGCTCCCACCCCCCCATGCAATGCACGATCTCTGGCCCTTGGAGTCATCTCTGTAGCCCCATGCAGCTGTTTTACAAAAAGTAGCTTTGTTTAAGTAAAATTCATATATCATACAATTAATCTTTTCAATATGAACAATTCACTGGGCTATCATGATCAATTTTTTTTTTTTTTTTTTTTTTTTTTTTTTTTTATTGAATCACTGTGGGAAAGGTTACAAAGCTTTCAGGTTTATGTCTCAGTCATGCAAATATCAAACACATTTCCCTTTACCAATACTTATTTTTTACCATGAAAAACCCCAATAAAACCCCACCCCCCACCCCTCCCCGTCCCTGTGAAGCAGATGAATTCTAGTTAACACTCTATCTGCTTTGATTAGATTCATTGTTTCAATAAAAGATTCACCACTATTATTTAGAGTTTACCCCCCCCCCCCCCAAATCAGACATGCTGAAAAAGCATTGTGAAGTGATTTGCTTTCTACGGCTGGGTTCAAGAATTAAATGTTGGTTTTGGATTTCTGCTATTTTACCTATTGACCCTGGAAGTATTTCTACTGAAAGTCAGATAGTTAAGAAATTGGTTTCTGTGTTCTGGAGTCCTGGCCGTGCTGGAGAGCCGCTCGCGGGGGGCAACCGGTGGCCTCGGTAGGGCGTGAAGGGCGGACCGAAACGCCCCCCTTCCCATGAGGTTTTAGTCGCCCCCACACTCCCGGCTCATACCTGCTGTCCACAAGGCTCCCATGTGGCCGCCATCTTTCTTTCCAAAGAGGAGAGGGCGAATGGGGCAACACCCTTTCCCCTCCGGCAGACTTGATGGCCTGGATCAATGCAGAGTCCGTTCACTTTTCTGCTCCAAGCTGCTGGGTTCTGCATTAAGTCCTTGTGCTTCTGGGGCCGTGGCCGTGCCGGAGAGCCGCTCGCGGGGGCAACTGGTGACCTCGGTAGGGCGTGAAGGACGGACCAGAACGCCCCTCTTCCCATGAGGTTTTAGTCGCCCCCACACCCCCGGCTCATATCTGCTGTCCACAAGGCCCCCATGTGGCCGCCATCTTTCTTTCCAGAGGGAGGAGGGCGGAAGGGAGCAACACCCTTTCCCCTCTGGGCAGAAATGATTGCCTGGATTAACGCATAGTCCTTTCACTTTTCTGCTCCAAGCTGCTGGGTTCTGCATTAAGCCCTTGTGCTTCTGGGGCTGTGGCCGTGCTGGAGAGCCGTTCGTGGGGGGCAACTGGTGACCTTGGTAGGGCGTGAAGGACGGACCGGAACGCCCCCCTTCCCATATCATGATCAATTTTTGAATATTTTATCACTCCAAAAAGAAACTCAGTGGGGTTGGAGAGATAGTATAGTGGTTAGGGCACTTGCCTTGCAATGGTTAATCTAGGTTCTATCCCCAGCATCCCATATAGTCTCCTGAGCACTACTAGGAGTGATTCCTGAGTGCAAAGCCAGGAGTAACCCCTGAGCATCACTGGGTGTGGCTCCCCCCACCAAAAAAAAAAAAAGAAACTCAGTACCCATTTACAGTAACTCTATTTTACCTCTACATCCCACCCCCAAACTTAGATATTCACTAACTTACTCTGTTTCCATAGTTTTCTATCCTGGTAACTTATCATACATGGAATCGTATAATATGTGGTTCTTAAAGATTGACTTCTCTCACCTAGCATAAAGTTGTGCTTGTTTTCAAAGTTTTAAATATATATATACATTAAACATATTTTAAAAATTGGGGCCAGTGAGATAGTACAGTGGATAGGGCATTTGCCTTGCATGGGACCAACCCGAGTTTGATCCCAGGCATCCCATATGGTCCCCCAAGCACCATCAGGAGTAATTCCTGAGTGCACAGCTGGGGGCAACTCTTGAGCATCACTTTATTTAAATTTTTTTTAAATATATGTACTGGTCCAGGCGGATATGCCGCCCGAGCCCGTGTATTGCTTGCGCCCGTGTGCCCGAGCACATGCGTCACCCACATCTCCCCTCTTGAGATGTGTACTTTTATGCTTTCCTATCTAATGCTGGGATATGTGTAGGGGCTCTCTCTGCCCTTGGAGAAGCCTGCGTTCTCCCTAGAGCATGATAATCTCTCTCTCTTACTCTCCACTCTCTTCCACTTTCTCTTCCTCCTTCCCTTCAAAGGTCCTCCAAATATATATATATATATATATATATATATATATATATATCGCTCCTGGTCCGGAGAAATGGTACAGAGGATAAGGCTCTTACCTTGCATGTGGCTGACTCTAGATCAATCCACAGCACACCATATGGTCCCCTGAGCACCACAAGGAGTGATCCCTGAGTACTGCCAGATGAGGTCCATCCAACAAAGGTATATGTACCATTTAAAGAATAATGGGTACCACTGAACTCACTACTCATCTTACAAGACTTAAAAAATTGTCAGCATGGGGCTAACGAGATAACACAGGGGTTAAGGCCTTCGCCTTGCTCAAAGCTAACTCTGGTTGAATTCTCAGAACTTTGGATGGTCCTCTGAGCACCACCAAAAATGATCCCAGAGAACAGAACCAAGAAGAAGCCCGAAGCACAGCAGGGTGTGAGCCAACAGTATAAAACAAAACAAAAATTTTCAGAATCTCAAAGGTCCTTTTATGTTCTCGTATCCATTCCTCCAAGAAATATCCATGATCCTGAATCTTAAAATAAGCACCCCTTTTCTCTTTAATTTTTGCCACCTGTGTGTGCAACTATAAGTAGCCAACTATGATTACATTTTATATAGTTGGGCACTTTTCATCTGTAGTCTTATATTTTGAAACTTTTGCTGAGCATTACTTTTTTTTAATATTGGCTAAAGTTCACTTTCATTTCGGTATTTATTCCACTGCCTGATTACATCCTAAATTATGTGCTATATGTAGATATTTAGGTTTTATCTTTTCTCTACAATAATAATTTTGTAATAAACATTATTGTATGTGTCTCCTGGTCATCAGTGCAATACTTCCTCTAAATTATATACCCAGGAGTGGAAGAGAAATTCAAAACAAGAGTAATTATACCAAATTACTCTCATCAGTGTGGTATGAGAATCCCTATTACTTTGCGTTCTCACCGGTTCTTATTGTTGCCCAGCCTTTTAATTTTTTGCCAATTGGGTAGATGTGAAAAGATATCTTCTACAATCTTGATTTGCACTTTCCTGATGATAAATGAAGGCTGTGCCTTCTTTTCATGCATTCATAAACATTTCTCTTTACTCATCTGTAAAAGACTAATTTCTTTCATTTGTGATTCTATCTGGCTATATTTTTAATACATACACATGTAATAAATGTTATGCATTTGATTATATTTTGGCTTCTTTTGGGGGGCCTCCCCGGATGGTGCTCAGGAGGTCCAGGGGTCCCACTGGCAGCTCTCAGACAGCTGGACTGGAGGGTCAATGAAAGGGCTTGAGGATTCAATGCCCATGATTCCTGGCCACCCCAGCCATCCTGGCGTCTTCCAGAGCTGCATCCCGCCATGCTTGGGGGACATTGTAATGCCAGGAATCAAACCTAGGTCAGCAAATTGCAGGCTTATGTATTAACCGCTATCCTATTCCTGGCCCTGGAGCTTTTATTTCTCTAATACATTGATTGTACATCACTTTTTCTGATGACTTCTCTATGTCAGCTGTATCTTTTTCTCAGTTGTTCC